ATACATAAATAAATAAAAGAATGGGAAATTACAAGCATCTTCTTAAGCAGAAAAGCAAAGATGTGTAACAACTTTCCACTATGAAAAATGAGACTATAAAACTTTTGTTGTAAGAACAAGGAAAATTGCTTCTTAGCAGGATTCTGTGGTGAAATAACCTGAGATAGCAAGGGGCTGTGCTTGGTACAGAAAATGTCTTTCATTCCAGGGTTTACAGATCTTATATTCCTGCTGTCCTGGTTGGAAGTAGATGATGTTTAAGGGATCTTGCAACCCAGACTGTTCTATGGTTCTGTGATTTGCACTGCAATCAGTAGCTTTAATTTTTTTAACCAAGTTAGCCATGCCTTACCTCTTCCCATTTTTATTTAAACTTTAGTGTGCTGTGGCATCATATACCATGCCTTGGGTTTTTCTGTTCCTTTCTTGGAGTTATGACCTTCACACATTATCTCAGTGCTCTCTTTTATGAGCCTCACTAATGATAGTGTGTTGTTCATTTGGAAACAACAGAGCTTTTTTTTGGTTTGTTTATACTTAAAGATTAAGTTGTAAATATTACCTGGTCTTAAACTGGGTGTTGTCTATAGGAAGTATTGGAGTGTTAAGAGTGTCTGCACAAAATTATAGTTACTGTCAATCATGCGTCTTCAGGATTGGCTGGAACTGGTCCTGGAATATCTTGCAGCATCAACAAAAAATACAAATTGAGATGACATATCCTCTTCTATAATATGTAAAACATTCTGTATTCTTCAGATAATCTCTTAAAGGTGGTATACTGGGCCACTGATGAGTCAACAAAGAAAAAAAGATGCTTTATACTATAATTAAATGAACTCTATAATAGAAACAGGAGATGACTAACTCTAAAACAGCACACAGAGAGCTCCAAATAATAAACATCCTACTTGAACTGAGGTGATGATAGCTGAAAATGCATTAAGTAGACAGAGAAACAAAAACAAATAAAGGTGAGAAATCAGTCAAGCAGGTTGAAGTGGAGTAAACACTTTGTCAGGAGTGTAGACCATGTTAGGGCTAATGTGTTTTGCATTAGTATGATGCTTGTAAAATACTGACTCTTGGCATCAGAGCTAATGACAAAAACCCACAACAGTTTTACAATATATACACATGCAGAAACAATAATACCATAAGAAAGATTCTTATTTATTAGTGTTTTGAGTTTTTAAAATAATATTATAGAATGTGAAAGAACTGGTAACGAATGGTAAGTGACGGTCATTACATAAATGTCTCACTGTTCTGCTGTTGAGTTTTGATCAATAATTGATGGAACAAAAGAGATCAGACAGTACCAGGAACACACACCAAATGAAGTTATTTTTACAGTGTTATTCAGAGGATGAGAATAATCAGGCTAAACTTTTAGTAAGAGGATTACATATATATGTATTAGTATTAGGAGGATTTGTGGCTTCGTTAGCAACTTCAGAGGAAGAAATACCTTCATGTATGCTGCTAACTAAAGTGAAATACTTTCTGTGATTGGTTGAGATTGAAAAAATAAATTTCAGCCCTGGAAAGTTATACAGAGGACAGTGCTATGTGTCTAAAATCGTGTGCCTCTAATCTTGTAGCCTAGTCTGAGCTGGTGTTCCTCCCAGTTGGGACCCAGAGAGTGCTTGCTGCAAGGTGAGGGAAAAAGGGCCTGAAGGCAATAAGGCAGTGCTGTAAAGGTAGGGGAGGGCTCTGGGCTGCTGGAGGAGCAGGAATTTACTCCTTGGTAAATGGACTGTACAGCCAGAGCAGTGGCAGTGGCACAATCTGGCCTTGAACCCATTTCTCTGTCTCTGTTCCTGTGTGGCAGAGGTGGAATGTGGGTGCTTGTGCCAGCCTCATGCCAGGTTTGGGGGGCACCAGGCCAGTGAGAATGTGAGTTGAGAAGCTGCCAGGGTGCCCCTCATCATGGTCTCTTGCGTTTGGAGCATTTTGAGTTAGCTGGTGGCTTAGACCAGCTTTGAAGCAATTACAGGGAGCATGGAAACTGGGCCTATAGCAAGGACAGAGGGATACAAAAAAGGGCTCTAACCTGTAACCAGAGCACTTGCAAACTTGCTGGTGGTTCCTTCTTTTTACACTGAGTAAGAAGGAAATTAGAGGACTTCCCAAGACAAGAGTAAGTCATGTTAGGAACAAGATTAAAAGCTTTGTCTTTCATCTCCAGGACTGTCTCTAAACTCCAAAAGCAGGGAGTTTTGAGAACTCCTCTGTGTAAGGGACTTCAGCTGATATCAGCTGAGCCATATGTAATAGCAGAATGGCTGATTTGGCATTTCAGTTGCATCTCACTAGACTTGAGTCTTGTCAGGGAGGTACCAAATTTACTGTAATAAAGTACTCACGCTGCTAGACTCAGATCTTTCTGAGTGTAAGATTTGGGAGTCTCCAAAGGCAAGTTTCTGCTAACATTCACAGAATATTATCACTTAGTGTTGGTGTCAGTTTTTTAGAAGTTCTTGTTAAAGCTTGAAATGTTCTGCCTTTTATGCCCTTAATTAGAGGAATTCTTGAATTGGGTGCTTTTTGCACTGCTGAGGTAGATTGAATTTCTGTTTGACTGATAAAGCTGCATATTGTAACCTTCTATAAACCATGATGTTATGTCTGTATGAAAAGCAGTATAAGTATTACATCTTCCATTCTTCCCATTTGAAATGCATTAGCCTTTTTTTTGTCTTCCACCTGTTTCTTCCCTCTGACTACCCAGGTTTTTTAATCTCCTGTTTGGATATCCACCAAAGTTCTTATCTGTATAGCTCATTAGTTGGGCACTTTTCTGTATAGCTTATTAGTTGGGCACTTCAGTTTGCCCACTTTGCAAAAGTTTGTATGCTAGTTATATATTTATTCATTTTAGGAATCACTTTTTAATATCTGATACTTTGAGATGAGGAGGGTGTATTGGTATGGTTTGTGTGAGAAAGTGTGTCACATTGGGTCAGGGCAGAATAATTCCTCAGGGTTTTGGGTTTTGGCAGAAGACTGCTTGGGCTCTTCATGTGATAAAAGAATGAATCAGCATAGCAGTGATTTCTCTAATTTCTTACCTAAGGGGAGACATGAGAAATTCTTACCTTTCTTGTGTACAGATTACTGCTGTTCTCCCTCATAGGTACTCATCACACAGGCATACTTGATCTCCTCTGTGTTTAACAGTGCTTCAGTCCTAAGTATGGAATAATATTACCAGTACTGAAACTATTTGCTTATCACTAATCTTAAAATCTCCAGCAGCATCCTGGTTGTGTTCCTTTTAGTGCTCCGATTGTTTTTCTTTTGCACTTGATACTTGCTGTCCAGATGTAGCACTTGTATCTGGCGGCAAGGTGTCCAGTGAGTTTGCTCTGTGTTGTTTCCATCCATCAGTTCCTTCCACTTTCTTAAACCTTTTCCTGCTTTATTTCATCAGAATATTTTGAGTTACTCTGGTTTATCCAGATAGGATTTTGGTTTATTCAGAGGTGTTGCATGAAGCTTTGCTGGGGGCCCTCATGATGATGAGGTTTCGGTTTCTGATGAACAAGTCCATAGTAGTAACTAGGGGACTGAAATGGAGGGAGAAAATAAGCATTAAATATAATTCTAAGGGGAGAATACAGCATATACTACTCTTAAACACTGCTCAAAAGAATTGAAAGATTTTGTAATAATTCTTTTCCATAGATGCTACAGGGAAGTTGAGTGCTTGGGAATGGGAAAGCAGGGTGATTTGTGAGACTGCAAGTGGGAGAGCTGGTGGAGAGTGACAGGCTTTAGAACCTGCCTGGAAAGTTAGCTTATTCCCATTAATTCCCAAGAATTTTTGGAATGCCATCAGGGCTTCTCTCTGCTGTGCTTGTGTAGAGACCATTTCTACAAGTTTTTTTTATTCTAGTATCTAAACAAAACCTAAAGTCCTGTTCATGAGCAGCTATTGATCATTGCTTAAAGTAACTTCTTGCAGAAGTGTTCTAGTTAAGAAGTTATGTTTGGCCTACAACAAATTAGTCTCATAATTTCAGTTAAAGCAAATATTTTATATTTAGTGGTTTTAAGTTAATAGCAGTATTGCAGTGCTTTATAACAGTATTATACTTGATACAGCACATGGTGCAGGTGATTACCTGGGAAGGGAGTTGTGACCATCCAAAATGCTGCTGAACTTGTTTCCTGCAGTAGCTGCAGACATGATTCTGAAGTATTTGTACAAGTAAAACTAATGGAACAAGTTCAGGAGTACAGATTTTAATAGCTCATGATAAAGTACTGCCTGTGGTACTGATAGGACAGATCTTGCATAAAAAAATACCTTCCATGTAATGAAAAAGTAATTTTAGAGGAATGTACTTGAATGAGCTACTGCTATTTGTGCATATTTTCTGTTGATGGTTTAGATACAGAAAGAGAAACTAATGAGTTCTTCTTGAAGATTTTTATTTCATCATTACAGGAGAAACCATGAACAAAGGAACTGCTGCAAAATTGTATTTCTGTCTGTTTCCTCTTGTTTTCCATACTTAAAAAATAAGATACTTATTCAGGCTGGGTTAGTCCTGGGTGAACTAATGCAGGTCTACTTAGGATTTAGTAACTAGCCTATACATTTGCATTTACAAATCTTTAAAGATCTAGAAAGCATCCTAATAGCTATTCAAATTATTTATGCTTTAGGTTGAAATCACATGTCTTCTATGGATTATGGTTTATAGTGATTATTTTATTTGAGGTTGTCAGAGAGAGATCATAATGTTGTCTGGGTGCAGAAGAGCCACATTTTTCACTCTCAGTGTTTGTGTAAAGCCAGGAGTATGAACACCCCCAGGTACCTATGTCCCTAAGGGCAATCGAGCATTCCTCAAGCGAGATACAAAGGAATAAAAATAAGATTATGATCAGGACTTGACAGCTTTCTTCTGTTACTGTAGTATGTGAAGATACAGAGTTTGTGTCATTCTGTCATGGGTTTCCATTGCTTATGGTTTGTTTTGTTTCAGCCTCTTGGAGCCAGCGACTATTTGGAAATATCAAAGCATTTTGACACAGTGTTTGTTCGTGACATACCACTCCTTACAATAGCAAAAAGGACACAAACTCGTCGTTTCATTACTCTTATTGATACCTTTTATGAGCATAAGGTGAGAACCAAGCCTTTCCTATATGCATAGGAATAATATTGGGAGTCCTAAAACTGATTCTTACTATTGGTTTGAAATAAGGCTTTATGTAGTAATGGTTTGGAAAACATAAGCAGAATGAAGTAGCACTGCAAAGAAACATCATTCCAGCTTCACCAAAAAAGAAAAAAAGATGGTCCCATTTCAATAAAGGCAAATAAACAGATTTTTTTTTTTTTTTTGTTTCTACGAGTATTAAGTATGAGCATAAATATAAGTCTGAGCTCATTTTTGAATGAGGATGTTCTTTCCTAACCGAGGAAAACAACAGAAACCATGTCATTATTTTAATAATGAAAGATTGTGCTGCCAACTGTGCTGGAATGAAATGGAGTTTTTTAGATTTTAATCTGTATGGGCAGTTGGTCAGGAATCAGTGCCTTTTTGATCAGGAAGGAGGAGTTAATAGCACAATTACATCATAAAGTTTAAAGGAAACAGTCACTATAGGATTTACATTAGATTGCAGAATTGCTCATGGAATAATAATGATAAATGCAGCACTTCATGTGGATTTACAGAGATTTCAATCTCTGTAAAGCAAAATCAGCATAACTAAAACAAAGGGAAGTTCCTGCTTAAGGTGATTTTTTTAAAAGTGATGCAAGGTTTGAAACACTATCATATATGTGATTATATTTGCATACACTTAAACATTTATGCAGTTGGAAGTGTCAGTTGAGGTTGGCTCTTATCAAGAATGTTCTGGCATGGGTTGCTGATCAGAAGGGCCCCAACTCAGTAAGGTGTTGAACTAACTCAGTGTATGAATAGTCTCATTCAAATCAGCCAGATTCAAATCAGTGTCATTCAAATTAGCCAGATTCTTTATTCTTTATGGTTGGGAAGTGGACATTTGCTAAGGCAATATGCTAATATTAAACGAATGGGTTAGAAATAGGGGGATGGTCTGCTCTGTGTTTGGGCTGTCATTAAGAATTGCAAGCAGTCACTTTCTATTATTTCCTCCATAGGAAAAACACAAGGTTAAACTCCCATCAAAAGTAGTTGGGAACAATACCTAAGTATATATGTGGATGCCTGTCCACAACACAAACATCTTGCTTGCATGCTCTCAACAAGAGTCTCCTTCTATAGTAGTATTTCAGTCTGTCTTCATTGCAGCCCCATCTCACACTGCATGTTGTATCTCTTCCCAGCAGACATGAAAACAGCATCGTTATTTTTACTAGCAAATAACTTACTGGAGTAGCACAGATGGAGGCAGGAAAGGCTTCACTCAGTCTTCTGAAACTTGTAATTTTGGAATTGGAAATTTGGAAATTGGAAATTTGGAATTTAAGTATTCTTTTAAATAGCGCAGTGTATATACCCACTGAGAGGAGTCTCACTATGGATGAAAAGTAAGCATTGCTTACTGTACAGCTCTCATTTTAGAAAGTAAACTTTGTGGTGAACTCACTGCCTGTGTAGCAGGTATTCTGGGTATTTGAAAGCACAGTTCTGTTCTGTGAGTAAAAGTTACATCAGTTGTTATTGAGAAAAAAGATCCTGTAAGGTTAATAGTTCATCTAAGTCAGGTAAATCTGTAACAGCAGTGCTAATAAGAGAAAGAAAAATCATTGGGGAAAAAACACTGCCAATTTAACGTGAAATTTGCAGTGCATAGATGGTGCATTTTACCCTATTTCTGTAAAGCCCAAGGGATTACACTGTTGTTGCCTCTCTCCTCCTCTCAGGTGCGCATTATCTGTTCTGCAGCAGCCCCTCTCCAAAGCTTGTTCCAGGTGAAACAGGACAGTGCTGAACTGCAGGACAACAGAGTGTTGATGGATGATTTGGACTTGAGCCAGGTACACGATTTTAACATTGTCTCCCTTCTGTAACAAAATTTGGTTTAGTCTCATAATTGCAGAGCATTTTAAGAGGGGGAATAAGGAAACATTTAACTATTGATATGCTGCTTTTTTTGCAGTGTCTGTCCCTCTGATTATTACATGTTGTGCTACTTATTCATAGTCAAAGAAAATGTCACTATATGTAGAACCATTTTGTTTAAGTTTTAGGGTAATTTTGAATGCTAATCATTGTATCTGTTCAGTTATTTATGAAAATGCTGATTTAAGTTTAGCACCTACATTTAAAATACAGAAATAAAAGATAGTTTGTTCTACCTGTTCCTAGACTACAGAACAGCCTCAAAAGTCCTCACAAACAGTACTGCTTTGCATGTTGCTTATTCTGTTTTTCTTTCTCCCTGTAGCTCAGTTATTGCTAATGACTTTTTAAATAATTTTTAATGGGTGTACAATTAGTCAAAAAAAGGAAAAATAGATGGTTAACCTGTTACTGTGTTGTTTTAAAATGAAATTATTCTTTTTATGTATTCCTTCAGGGGATTTCCTGGCTGAAATAGGTGCTTTTCTTTAATTTTTGGACATCAGTTTTAATATTTTGGTGCCATACTGCTGTCTTGTTTTGTTAAAGCCTGTAGAGCACTGAGCCTTAGGAGTTAGACAGGATGCACTTCAGTACAGCCATGAGTCTCACAGGTGTGTGGTACTGGTTTTGTGTATTGATGTAGGATTCTGCCAAAGGACTCTCCGTGTTTACAGGAGAAGAGGAAATCTTTGCCTTTCAGCGTACTCTCTCACGGCTCACAGAAATGCAAACTGAACAGTACTGGAATGATGGGGACAGAAGCAAAAAAACATAATTAAAAGTTGAATGAAATCACCAAGAAGTAAAATTACAGCATGAAATCACCAAGAAGAAAAATTGGAAAAGCTTCAGGAAAGCACTGGAAAGTTTTTTAGCACAACTTGAATAATAATTGCACTTTATCATCTGGACCATGTTTTCTTTCATCAATAGTTTTTTGAGTTTAAGACATGAGGTCTCAATTATTTGTCTGTACCACCAGTGTGTGGACATGTGAAATTCTGCCTTCATTTGTTCTTCTTCAAACCTGTCTGGATGTCTGGCTCCATGCAGTGGTGGTGAATGGAATTACCTCCAGCTGGTGGCTGGTCACCAGAGGTGTTCCCCAGGGCTCAGTATTGGGGCCAGCCCTCTTCAGTATCTTTATGCATGGTATGGACAAGGGGATCAAAGTGCACCCTCAGTAAGTTCACAGATGATGCCAAGTTGGGTGGGACTGTTGACCTGCAGGAGGGCAGGAAATCTCTGCAAAGGATCTGGACAGGCTGGATCAATGGGCTGAGGCCAGTTGTATGAGGTTCTACATAGGACAAGTGCCAGGTCCTGCCCTTGGGTCACAACAGCCCTGGGCAGCACTAAGGGCTGGGGCAGAGGGGCTGGAAAGTTGCCCAGGAGAAAAGGACCTGGGAGTGCTGGAAAACAGAACATGAGTCAGCTGTGCCCAGGTGGCCAAGAATGCCAATGGAATCTCAGCCTGTATCAGCAACAGTGTGGCCAGCAGCACCAGGGATTGTTCCCCTGTACTCAGCACTGGTGAGGCCTCAGCTTGGGTGCTGTGTCCAGGCTGGGCCCCTCACTACAAGAAGGACATTGAGGGGCAGGGGCGAGTCCAGAGAAGGGCAATGAAGCTGGTGAAGGGTCTGGAGCATCAGTCCTGTGAGCAGCAGCTGAGGGAGCTGGGGGTGTTTAGCCTGGAGGAAAGGAGGCTTGGGGAGGCCTTACTGCTCGCTCTTAACTGCGTGAAAGGAGGGTATAATGAGGGGAGGTTTGGACTCTTCTCCCAGGCAACCAATGACAGAATGAGAGGACAGAGCCTCAAGCTGCTCCAGGGGAGATTCAGGTTGGACATGATGAAGAATTTCTTCACTGAAAGTGTTGTCTAGTATTGGAACAGGCTGCCCAGGGAGGTGGTGGAGTCACCATATCTGGAAGTGTTTAAGAAATTGCTGGACATGGCACTTAGTGCTGTGGTTTATTTGATAGGGTGAGGTTTGGACAAAAGTTGGATTCGATGATCTTGGAGTTTTTTCCCAACCTTAATGATTCTCTAAAATATACCTTTGATGTTCAGGAAGTTTGATGGGATTAGAATTTTTCTGGAGAATTGTTCTACAGACAAAGTTAATGGGGCGGGGCGCTATGCAGAGTAATTTTATGATGTCACATAAAGTGGGTATTTCAGTGATTATGCACTGCTTCTGTCATGTATAATGCTGCTTGCACAAAAAAAAAAATCAAATGCTTCTTTAAGAAATTCCTGATATTGTCCATGCTAGATTCCTGGAACTCCTCTGTAGTGTGTTTTGGTTTTGGTTTTTTTTCTATTCTCTTCAGTCTAGCGATGTGTTGACATGCAGGCTCCAGGAGTTTTTTTTCAAATCAGACTGTTGCTCAGTCTGGTTCATTGAAAGCTAATGGTTTTAGCCAAGAGAGAACCCTGAGGAGGAGCTTTAAGGTACTTGAAGCTGCACAGGATTAAGATTTAAATAATGGATGAGAAAAGAGACCTTGATAAGACAGGGTATGCTGTAACAGTAAGTGCAAGTTCATATTCTTCCTAAATTTTGTGGTTCTTGCAAGCCTGGATATGCTGCCTCTACACCAGTGACATCTCTACCCTGAATTTTCTTGTGCTTCTTCTACACCAAGCCTTCCACTGCTGCTGACACACCTGCCCTAGTCTGGGGGGAGCAGTACTCAGTACTACTGAGGCAATTCATCACGTTACCATAGGAATGTGTTTTATGGAAAAGATAGGATAGGAACTGATACCTCAAGACACATCACCCATCCTCATGTTTGTAGTTGGAAACTCTATTTTAGAGTTGAAGATACAGTGGTGTCATTCTTGATTTTAATCTAACTGAAACAAAACATGGTATTGTGTGTATTGGCTTATTGTGTATTTTTATAAAGTAATCTTAAGAGCATATTTAGAAACTTTGAGTAGAAAAAAACATGTAGATGGACTGAAAAGACTGCACTCATGTCCTAGGGAGGAGATGTATAACACACTGTCCCCAACTATAAGAGGTTTTGTTGGATTTTGGCAACATGACTTTTTTCTGTCTCTTACCAAGTTGTCTCCCATCACAATTACAAAAGGCATCCAGAAGGGCCTTCTGGGCAGCAGGGAGGGCGGGAGAGGTCCTGTGCACTTACTTTTGTTAGGGAGCCACATGCTCAATTCTAGTTTTCTGTTCTGATCCCTTCTACTTGTCCTGGAAGTTACTTATTCTGGCTATACCTGCTCTTCAAATAATTTTTAAAGCCTATATTTATAGTTTGCAACTAATGGAACTGTATTATTATTCCCACAAGGGTGACTACCATGGAGAATTTTAATGCATATTTATGAAAATTCCAATCAGAATTCATTGTTTATATTAAGAATATCCAAATAATTGTTGTATGCTTTCAGAGTTTTGGATTAGGTTTCTCAACCGAGGGACTATTGACATTCATGCATGTGTGTCTGTATATACAAACACATATGTATATTTAATTTATACATGTACATATAAATCTAGATAAAACTAATATATATGATTTAAATGTATGTGTTTCTGTATTTATATGTGGCACTTTATACTTATCAGCCTGGGACTATGCTGATAACTCTCCTGAAGCTTCAGCCTTGAGTTTTTTTGAGTAGCATTCAAATGCCTCCTGCCTTGAACCAGAATGTGTTGTAGGAAAATGGGAGATGGTGGTAGATAACCTAAGGCACTTTGCATCTGGATATTTATTTACATTTGCCTAAAAACTATTTATATGTTTAGCCTGTATGTCCTTCTCTGTCAGGTGGTATAGGGGAAATGTGCAATTTTGCAGAACACAGATGACACGTCTGGGACATATGGGAGAGGAGGTCCTGGCAGGTTCTTCATTCCCACAGAGACTGCCTCAGGCCAGGGAAGTGAGGTGTTTCTCCACTGTCTGTGTGGGTGATGATGAAGCTCCTTTAACCACAGGATCCCTGTTTGTGTTCAAACTGCTGCTGCTTTGCCCATTGGTATTTGAGGCTTTTCTGCAGTCTGAATGCACACCCCAAACTCAGATGCCCCAGGTTTTTGAAAGCAGTGGGACTGATGTACCACTGAAATGCAGTGGGACTGATGTACCACTGAAGGCCTCTAAGGATATAGGTGAGCTCTGTGAAAACACAGGAGGGAAGTCCCCCAAAAGCTTCCAGAGCCAGCACTACTTCTGGGACATATTGCTAAATAACACCATAGTGCAGTCTTTCCTTGGCCAGCAAGGAATTTGTCTGTTGGGAGTCCCTGGTATGTACCAGCAATAATCAAGGAAAAGAAATGGGGAAGATTCCAGAGTGTTTTGAGGCTGAAAACAAGAAAAGTTGCCTAAATCGCTGTGCTGTATTTGTGATTGTGCTGCAGAGGGAGGTTTGCCACTTTTGGGTCAGGTCCACAAGGAGAAATTTATTGGACTGGTTTCTCAGCCAGCCCAGATGTGGCCAGGGCAGAGGGTGCCCCTGTAACCACAGAAGCAGCAAATTTATGCCCATCTACCTCCCTGAAGAAAGTGAGGCCCTATTTGCTTATTTGATGGTGCTGTAGCATGTATAAAGCCTTTTTCCAGTGCTGAGTTGGAGGTGCTGCTTCTGGGGTCAGACACCTTCCAGGCAACTGGTGCTGGCCAGAATCTCACTGATACCATGGACAAGAGTGGCTTTGTTGTGCCCCAGGGTGCTGGGCCACCTGTGCTCCCAGCTGTCCTGTCCCCTGCTGCCTGGCCTGCTCCTGCTGCTGTGAGACAGCAACAGTCCATGACTTTATTCCACATGAAGATGTTGTACTTGCCAAAATGTAAACAGTGAGATGCCTGTCTCTAAATTATGCATGTTCCATAATAGCCTTAAAAATTGCTGGATTTGTGCTGAATGCTTCTATCCAGAGTTTAAGTCCTGGCTTTTTAGGTTTTCCTTAACTTGTGAATTCATGTCATCTCAGATCTGCAACAAATTTTTATTTCCTTTAGTCGTTCAGCAAACACTATTGACAAATTACTTTTAAAGGCCTTTTCAAGTGACCTTTATTGATGTGGTATAGTATTTTGCTGTCATAGGAAGTAAAATCCTGGTGATTATGGACCATGTGAAACACTTCATGTTTTCTAAAAGTCACATCCTGGCTGAGAATCTCTCAACTAACTTCTTTCAAATACTTGATTGACCAAAGAATGTTCACAATGCCCAAAAATTTAACTTCTTTTTTTTTTAATAATAATAAATAGTGCAATTCTGTCTTTCAGAGTTGCTGGTTTTCAGTATTTGTTACTGTGCAGATTGAGGGAACAATTGCAGTATTTTGGGTAGAACAAGACAGCCTTCCAAAGGCTTTGGAGGGAGTGAAGAGGCATTTTTTGCTGTTGCTGGGTTTTGATCTGAAAAGGAAAAGCATTAATGTCTTTTCTTTTAGTAAAGGTGTTTGTGATGACAACACAGCTGGATAGATGTCACCTATTTTGCAGCAATCTAAACATGAAAAAAAGCAACTGAGCAGGTTTCAAACAGTGCCCAGTAGGGTCACCAGCCACATAACAAGGAGGAAGAACAGTCTCTCCATCATGACGTGGCTAACAAAATTAAGGTTCAGGATTTTTCTTTCTGCAGTTTCCTGGGTCTGAATACACCTGGTGCCTCAGTTTCCCTGTTGATAAAATGGGAATCATGCTACTTTCTCACTTGCTAACTCTGGCGTGCTGCCAGGCTTCCCTCATTAATATTCTAAGATGCTTGCTGAGGCTCTGGGATGAAAATACTTCAGTAAAGTATGTAAATAGTGCAAAAAAATAATTTAGCTACTCAGAGTGGATTAGTCTCCTTGTTTGGGTTACAGAATTAATGTCATCCACTAAACACCACATCTCTTCATAGTGATTTTGTTTAATTAATGCATCTATTTTAAGAATCTATTTAAAGAAAAAAATTTTGAGATTTGTGATTAAAACTGTAAACCATTTGTGTGGTTTTTCTTTTACTTGTAATAACGAATTTCCTATAAGATTCATAACAACCTCAGATCCTATACATTTGAAATACAGTGGCTTTGTAAATTCTGTTGGCATTTTCCTTGTATAGAGAGAATATTTTTTAAAATACGTCATTTTGAATCTAGTATATTACAAATTGAACACTGTCAAATCCATCTGCTAATTGAGAAGAATTTATCTTGTAATAAAAATTAATAAATCCAGATGTTATGAACTTGTCACTTACTCATGCTAATTTTAGGTATGTGTTCTGGATAGACAGACCCACTGTTAGTTAGAATAACAGAATATTAAGGAGTTGGAATGGACCTTCAAGATCATCTAAACCCAACCTCCCCTGCCATGGGCAGGAACACCTCCCACTAGACCGGGTTGCTCAAGGCCTTATCCAACCTGTCTAGGAACACTGCCAGGGATGGGGCCTCCACAGCTGCTCTGGGAAACCTATTCCAGTGCCTCCCCATGCTCACAGTAAAGAATTTATTCCTAATAGCCACTCTAAGCCTCCCTCTTTCAGTTTAAAGCCATTCCCCCTTGTCCTGTAACTACATACCCTTGTAAAAAGTGCCTCTCCAGGTCTCTTGCAGTACCCTTTAGGTACTGGAAGGTGCTGTAAGGTCTCCCTGGAGCCTTCTCCAGACTGAACAATCTCACCTCTGTCAGCCTGTCTCCATAGGAGAGGTGCTCCAGCCCTTTGGTCTTCATGACCTTAGTGTGATTGCTTTTCTTAGATGTCTGTATCCAGGGGGCAAACCTGGACTGGCAGCACTGCCAGTTTCTGGGCATGTGGTTGGCTGCACAAGTTGTAGCCATTGCTCTACACATGGTTCAGCTTTTGGAATATCCAGGGCTTGTCAGAAAGGTCCTCCTCCAGCAGTAGTTTAGACTTGTCTGCCTCAGTTACTGCTGCCAGCAGCCATAATTTTTGAGTTTGGAACCCTTTTTTCCACCTCTTTGCCTCCTTCCTCCAACAACTTGAGGGTGAGACAAAAGAGCTGCATGGAAACCACAATTAAAGTGCATTTTCACCCTCATAATTTGAGATTCTTACTGTTCAAGATGTGCTTGTGCTGTCAGCCAGTTAGTTCTGTGGTTGGTTGTTACAGGTTCTGCACAGCTTAGATTATTGCTGGGGGAAGCAGTTGGCTAACATGAAGGCTGGCAGAGAGCCCCCACATGGAAGGGCTGGCAGGGTCTGAGGATCGCTGCAGCTCCCCAGTGCAAATGTCCCAAAGGAGCACCTCTGAGTGCTGAGAGTGACACAGCACTGCTGAGCATGGCACTGCTCCATGGAAGCCAGGGGCAGACACACAGGTCTTGCTGGCAGATGGCAAGCAGTGTTTCATAGTTCAGACTTGAGAAACCAGGGGTGTAAAATTTTCAGGTTAAACTTTGGGTCTATTTCTACACCTTCTACTGCAAACATTGTATTTTCCTGTTTCTTGAAGAGGGATATTGTAATACTGAAAGTCGAGCAACTAACTTGCTCCAGTATCTTGCTTGCAGCATTATGGTACCCAGTGTTTGAGAAGAGCATCCAGAATGGGATGTCTTACTCTCCCATTACAGATTCACACAGATTTGTGAAGGAAAAGGATGTACCCTTAACTATGTTTGCATGCCTTGCCACTGATGGAAATGTTAGACCCTTCTCCAGATCAATTTAAGATCCTGTTTTTCTTTCAAACATCCTGCAGCAGTAAGCTGTCAGGGTTTAATTAGTAGAAATTTTGCTCAAAAAAAGGTCCCTAGGCTTTGCTGCCTCTTCTGAAATTCTTCGAGAACAGGTTTTGCCAATCTGCCTTTGCAGCTTTGTTTGTCCAGTGGATGCTTCTCTTGTGTCACCCTGATCCATTTGCTCTCAGAGATGAGCAATCCCCAACATGTCCATTTCTTGTCAATGAAGATTGCTCCTCATCCTGGGGTACTTAATATTCTCTTGTTCTGTAACCTCATTTCTGATGGAGAAGCACAGGTTTTTGTGTCTCAGCTTCCCCAAGACCCCTGGGCTTAGACTTTCCTGCTGCTTGGCTTTGGGCCTCAGGAGCTCTGGCACACATAAAATACAGGGTGTGGGGTCTGGGGGTGCACCCATGCACCTGCAGAATGGGAGACATTTCTGACCCTTGTTTTTAGGGCACTGCCTGCTTTTGCCTCTGTGTCTTCCCAGAAGGGAAACTTGCAGTAGCAGTTCCTAGCATGAGAGGAGAGGGAGGATGGAGCAGATGGAGGATGCAGGCCACTTGCTCCCTCTCCAGCCTTCTGCATTCTCCACATATTTGTAAAACAACTTTTGTTTTAAATTGAATTGATTTCTAAGAGAGCCATTAAAATACAGAAATGCTTCTCACTGACCTAGTACTCTGCATTCATTTTGGTAAAATTTTGGATGTGTTTCTATAGTCCTCCCGCCAGTTCTTTGTCAGGGTGAAGGGTTTAGTTGGCTCTGTTAATCTACTCTCTAGCTGAAATTGTTCATTTAAATAGTTATAAAAATCCACTCTTTTCCAATGTGAATCCTATATTCCCAGATTTGAGTACTGCTGCCAGAGCAAAGACTTCAAATTCTCTGAGTGCAACCACACTATGTCAGTCCAAAGCCAAATTGCAAACACTTATCCACAATTCCCCTTACTCAGCTTTAAGCTAATTTTTCCAGCAGGCAACAATAGCCATAAAAGTATAGAGGAAGATTATTACAAGAGCTTAAGAAATGGTTAACTGATTTCTTCACAAGCTGTGGGATAATTCTACCACATTCTCTTATTGCAAGAAGTTACTTAATGTATTTTCAGCACACGGTTCTTCAGTGTCACAGTAATTAAGAGCAATCACAGCCACTGAAAAATGAAGCATGGAACAAAAGATCGAGTGTTTAAGCTGAAGTCAAGGAAACTAGGAAAAGTAAGCTCACCGACACAAAGAAAAAACCTTTGAGTGCTCTGGTCTTTTACAATTAGCAAAGGCAAACACACTTCTGTAACTTTTTCTACATGCAGTGATGGATAATGTTCAGGTCACAACATGCTGTGTTGGGTGGGGAGGTTTGTTCCTGCAGGCCTGTAAAGAGCATCACTCATGTCAGGTCTTTCCTGTCGTTGAGGTATGATGTGCCCAGCAACACTTCCCTGCTAATCAAGGTTCACACGCTTTAAACAGGTAACAGAGTTCCTCAGGGGGCAGGAGGAGCAAAGCTGGTTGGAAACACAGGCAGAGGACCAGTCTCCTCCAGTTGCAGTTGATACCTCCCAAAAGTAACATTTCAGAGGCCAGTGGAGAGAGGAGCAATTACTGTCCAGCAAAATTACAATCTGAATGGGCTGCCATTTCCAGTGCTTCACTAGGATGGCTGTGATTGCTATAGAAACTTCTGAAAGTGAGACAGAGAGGTTTTCCAGCACTGGAAACTGCGAATGGAGAAGGTTAGACTGGGTGCAAAGCCCATTCAGTCAGGCAGCTGCCAATCCAGCCTCTTTGCCAAGTAGATTGTAGGAAATGCTGATTAAAAAGTCCACAGAATGCACCAGGCAAATTAAATTTCAGTCACAGCCGCCTGGGTGGTTTCGGTGGGCAGACAGCTCCAGCCTGTGGTGCACCTGGGCTTGCTCTCCCACTGTGGCCTCTCCCAGGGCCACCTGCCCCTTGCACACACGTACTGCAGAGATGCTGCAGCCATGGCAGCCTAAGGAATACTAGTGAGATGAGGCTTGTGGGGAAAAGTCTGGTAAAAGGATGTTTGGGGGGAAAAAAAAAGCCAGACATCATTCCAGGTAAGGGAGCAGTGTCCTTACCCACTCCAGCTTTGACATTTCTCCCAGGGCATAAGTCTAGGAAACGAGGGCTGCTGCCATGTTCACCACCCTGTGACTGGGCTGGCACCCCTAGCCTGTCTCGCCCACCCTACTCCCTGTGTTGGCATTTAAACAGGACTGCTGTCTTTGAACACTGCCTGCCAACCCCTCCCCTCCAAACAGCCGGCAGTGGACAGCTGAAAGTCTTCCTTTGGGGCAGAACAGCTGGCAGTACAGCCAAAAGCCTGCCACAAACCAGGAAACAAGCCTAAGTCTGAGGGAAGTGTTGGTGTTTGGAACTTCCCCTTTTCCACCTTTTCAGCAGCATAGACAAGCCCCTGAAATCCCCTCCCACAGCCCGTTGTCCCCAGCTTTGGTGGGACACCCAGGTGTAGCTGCAAGCCCAGTAATGATTCTTCTTGAGAAGCTGCTCTGACCTCCTTTCCATACCCCCAGTCTCCAGCCCTTTCATCTGTGCTGGGGGAGGGTTTAATATCTTTTTGTGTTCATTGCTGGCCTTGGTAAAGCAGCTTGTCACCCTTCTGGCAGCAGGCTGGCAGCAGTTATTCCAGCACCTTGCTCCCCACTGATCCCCTAAAGGAATGTTGGTATTAGCAGCCTTTATCACCATCATAGTTTCATTTCCTTCTCTTTGCTGTCTCTCCTCAGCCTCCTTAGGTTTAACTCCAGGCAGTCAGCCAGAAGAGTGTCAGGCAGGTAAGTGCAGACACAGGTAACGCTGTGGGGCAATCACACGGCCATTCCCTCCTCCTCCAGGAGCTGGATGCAGCTGCTACGCCGGGCTCAGGAAGCCTCAGCACTGTGCCCCCCTGTGTCCCTTCACAACAGCTCCACTTAGGTCAGCTCCTTTTTTGCTCTTGGCTTTGAGGCAAAACAATAAAACCACTTTGTGAATCAAAGGAACTTCTTACCTACCTGTATTGCAGTTTCCAAAGGTTCTTCACAGGCTGTGCTAGGTTCCCATTTAGGTACACAAAATTATATGGCCTGCATAAATAAAAGCAATGAGATTTGTCTTGCCACATAAGGGTGAACAATGTAAAAAGTCACACTTATCAAATCCATTAAATGTTTGCTGTATGGATTTTTTTTTCCCCAGGAAAAAAAAAAATTAAAAAGCCCTTTTGGTAGTGAATATAATGGGTATTTTGGTTTATTTGATTCTGCTAATTTACAATTCCTCAATACACGGTTCTTTAAAAGTCAGAGTGACTTCATCCTGTGCTCTCAGAGCACCTGAGGACAAACATTGAGACATCTGCTCAAGCCAGTGCCTGTCACTGCCTGCCCAGCCTTTTTACATACCTTGGTTATTTGTTTTACTAACACCAAGTTGCTGCAGTACTGTCTATGTGTATATATTACATGTGCTCAAGGAGTTACAAATGGGT